GGGCGCCAGCACCGCTGCGAGCTGGTCTGCCGCGTCCAAACACGTGTCACGATGGCGGTTGCGGAAAGTGTCAGGAGGAATCATGGGGAGGGATGAATGCGCAAGCACCTGAATCAGAAGTAGCGCGTGGAGGCTCTCCGCGAGGCGGTGGAGCTGGCCGAGGGTCGCCTCTGGAACATGCGTCTGTGGAGGCTGCAGCGCTTCTGTCAGAAATAGTAGCGGCTCATCAGCAACAACGACGTAGGACGACTGAGCCGTAGTGCCACCCCCCGCAGCAACAAACTCCACTCCCGCAACAGGCAGAACCGGTGGCAGATGCATACGAGAGCCGAGAGCAGGCGCCAAAAGAGAAGGAGAAGGAGCCGATGGGGCGAAGACAGGAGGAGGAAAGGCAGCAGCCGGCGGATGGTCCACGGGAGGCCCAGTCTGACGAGGAGCCACGTGCGCCGGCGCGGCCGGCGGTGAATTGCTCTGAATCTCTGCCGCCCTCTCCTCGCGCATGGCACACGACACCTCCCGCTGAAGATCCGCCATTGTCACAGGCGGGTGGAATGCCCCGCGGGGACCCCTCCAACCCCCATTTCCACCGTGACAAGCAGGCCACTGAGTCTGCTGCTGGTAGCGCCGGGAAGAGTTGCGCCGGCGCCGCGTCGACTCGCGCTCCTGCTTGGGTGCAAGAGAATGGGGGCGTGATAGTCGGCGGTCTGGCGACTGGGGACGAATCGGCTGCACTACAGGGGCCGCCGGCAGCAGAGCGGGAGCAGGCTGGCCCACGCCCGGAGGCGCAACCATCGGAGCCGGGCCGACAGTGGTGGCGGACGCTGCCTTCGGGGAAGAAACAGACGCCGGCGCAAGCTGGCCGGGGACAGAAACGGCAGGTGCAACGGGGGTGCCAGGGACAGGGACAGGGGGAACAGCAACTCCCCCAGCAGGAGCAGACGCTGCCAGCGCATCAACGGGAGCATGGGGAGCAGGAGCGACAGGTGGAGCAGGAGGAGCAACAACCGGGGCGGACGGGTCAGCCCTGCTCACTTCATGGGGACCCACGGATATGAGGGGAAGAGTCTTTTCAGCGTCTATTGTCACGGGCTTCGGTGCACACGGCGGCGAGGACCCCGTCGCCGTGGTCCCCGCTCCGGAGGCAGACGACGGCTTTTCGAACACAACCGACGCAGCGCCAGCGCGCATTGGCGAGTAATCGGTCACTCCAGCAATCACCATTGCGAGGCCGAGGAGCGCGAGGTGGAAGGCGAGAAGCGGCTAGCGGACAGGGAGGAGGGCTAGAGAACGGCTATCAGTCAGAGGCGCGTAGGGCTTTAACCAGACTAGATAATGAGGATGACGAAAGAAGGGACCCCTCTTATAGGGAGGAGCCCATGCCTGCGAGCGAAGACAAAGAGACGGAAGGAGAGGAAGGAATAAGGGAGAACACGGGGAGGACGGGAGCAGGACCAAGGCAGTCCCGTGGAGAGCAAAGGGATCCGGCTCGTGGACCGTCCGATGCCGATCGTATGGGTGAGATTCCAACCACACCACCACAAGCGAGGACGAGCCGCACTAGGCGAAATCGAGCCGCGATAGACACAGCTGCGGGGCGAGAAAATTCCAATTTCCCCCGCTATTTCACGCCAAAGGAGTTGACGATGCGGGCAGACTGGTTCGCGGACATCGCGAACTGGGATATCCCTGCCCTCTGCGACAGTCGGCAGCCAGTCCTGGCACGGCGGTTACCGCCGAACTTGTGTCAGTTATTTTCGCTGGCGCTACTGACTCCGTTACTATACCTGTCACAAAACCCGGAATCCGAGGCTGGTTGACGCCTTCTCCTTTTTCTCCCGCGTCTGACGCTTCGCCAAAACTCGCCACTGAGACCGAACTGGCCCCAGATCAAGGCCCGGCTCCGAGCCTTCCAGAGTGGCGAGTGGGACCAACTGTACAGGGAGGCGATTGACGCAATCAACACACCCGCGGCGTCACGTCATCAACCAGATGCTACCGGGGTCATTAGCCGAGCCGAGGGCCTGGCAAAACGGGGCAGTCGGCGCCGAGCTGTGTTGGCGTTAGAGTCAACGCCAGTCTGCAAACCGACTCCAGAAATACTGGACGAGCTCCGACGGAAACACCCAAGAGCCGAACCAGGGACGACAACGTGGCCACCCCGACGAGAGCCAAAATTGTCCATCACGCACGCGGATTTTGCCAAACTGCTGGGGAGGTGCGAGAACGGGGTCGGTGCCGGACCTTCGGGGACAAATTTCGAGCACATGCGCGATGCGGCAATCACGAACGGACGAGTCAGCACCCATCTGCACGCATTGATAAACACCATTCTGGGGGCAACCTTCCAGGACCGGTGGCGGACCTACTTACAGCCTCGCGACTCATAGCCCTTGCCAAACCTGGGGGGGGTGCTCGACCAATCGCCATCGGCGAGTACATCACCCGGGTGATAGCCAAGGCAGCCCTCACAGCCATGGGCGATGCTGCACGTAACTTCTTCCTGCCTCTACAGTATGGGGTAGCTGTGCCAGGGGCCGAGGCAGTTATCCACGTGGCACGAGCGTATCTGGACAAGCTACCCAACAGCCTGGTACTACAGACCGACATCTCGAATGCTTTCAACAGCATCTCTCGACAAGCGATCGCAACGGCGTTACAGGAGCCCGGGCTTTCGCCACTAGTGCCGCTGGTGAAACTTACGTACGGTAACCCGTCCAAGTTGCATCTCGACGCCAATTTCGAATGCGACCCACTGACCAGCGAACGGGGCGTACGGCAAGGTGACCCACTTTGCCCTTTATTGTTTGCGGCGGGAATACACCCAGCACTTCGCGACACCGCCGAGGCATATCCCCACGTGCTTTGTCTGGCCTACGCAGACGATGTCACATTCCTGGGGAATGCGGCGGACACTCTAGCTGCATTCAATCATTTCACCGAGAGTCTGGCGCACCTGGGGCTAATACACAATGCACAGAAATGTGCAGCCTGGAGTAGGGAAGAAGCAGTGAAGGAGCAGCTACCGCGGGAGTGCCTTTTTCCCAGAACGGCGTGCGCTTGTTTGGCAGCTTCGTGGGTCCCAACAGCGGGGCGTCGCAGTTCCTGTCAGGTCAGCTAAGGGAAATGGCAAAACCTTTGCCACTCCTTGAGAAAGCCGACCCCCAGGTAGCATCACTATTGCTCACCCGCTGTATCTCGAGGCGGGTGGCATACCTCACCAGAACAACACCGCTCCACATTCTGCCTCACGACACCTAGAGTCAGTGGGGGATGGATCTGCTTACAGCGCTACTGACAGCATGCAACATCCGTGTTCCCACCTGCCGCGCTGAACAAGCACGTGTCTGGGCGCAGGCGTCACTGCCGCCATCATTGGGGGGGATAGGCATTACCGACCCCCTAATCGAGGGAGTGTATGGTTACGCGGCGAGCTTCACACAGGCCGCGCTCTTTCTGGCATCACTAGAAGGCGCCCCTGATGGCGCGCTGACGTAGGCCCAGGACCACATGCTGCTGCCTACAGACAACGCCACGCCTCTCCACGCGTGGCTTTCGGAGTGCGAAGCGGCTTTACCAGTTGACGCACGGGAGATTTTGGAGAAAGAGCGGCTGGAGCGATCAGACACCAGACCCCAGCACGCATTGGCTCTGAGGGTACATGGGAGCAGATATGCCGTGCAGGTCATGGAGACACGACGGATGGCACTGAACCCCCTGTGCGGACACACGCAGCGGATGTACTCACTGACAGGTTACGGGACCGAGGATTGGCTGACAGCTATCCCCATTGCGGCAAACAGGAGGATAGGGCCCACCCACTTCTCTAACGCCGTGCGCTTCCGGCTGGCCCTCCCTTTCTCCACACCGAAAAACTGCGACTGCGTAGACCATATTGCCATCATGGACCCCCGCCTCCCTAACCACCTACTCCGCTGCGGCACGGGCAAACACCGCATCAACACACATAATGAGCTGCGCGATGCCTGCATTAGCATGGCCCAAGACGCGGGGTTCATTGTCCACAGCGAGTCATCGGCGCACTGCCCCATTGAGGAACAGACCGCTGATTTTACAATGACGGACAGAAGCAACGGTGCCGTCTACGTGTGCGACGTCACTATTACCGACCCTATTAGCACTAGGGACCCGGAGGCGCAGAAGGGCAGGGGCTGGGCGGCACGGGAGCAGGCGGACAAGAAGATCCAGCACTACGCCGCCCTGCCAGAGACGGTGGCTTTCTTCCCTCTGGCGGTAGACACTTACAGCTGCCCTTGTGTGGAGGTGCCCGTCTTCCTGAAACTCTTGGCGGACACTGCAGCTTGGCGCCACTTCAACGCCGACTCCAAATCATTCTATGCTGCAAAGTTCCTACACCAGTTCAGGCAACGTTGGTCAGTGGCCCTCCAAAGGGCCCAATCTGTGGGCCTCTTGCTCAAACTTGGGGAGGCTGCGGCGGTAGAGAACCCGCCTGTGGGGGGGATTGGGGACGAGCTGCACCTTGGGGACTGCTTCGCAGTCGTTGAGCCCCTAGTGGAGTTGTAGATATGTGGTGCTTGTGCCTTGCATGTTAGTTAGCTATGACTCTATGACCTGCATACTTGTACTTGGCTGCTATATCAATACAAGGACCATTAGAGAGAGAGAGAGAGAGAGAGAGAGAGAGAGAGAGAGAGAGAGAGAGAGAGAGAGAGAGAGAGAGAGAGAGAGAGAGAGATGGCATAGCTCAGTCCTTAGCCATTTCTAGGCCTCTCTTCCCTAGGATCTAGTCCTTAGCCATTTCTAGGCCTGTTCCCTTAGTATAAAGGCTCTGGATCCAGGCTTGTGAGCTCATTATTCATTGGTGAGTTAGGTTCACTCTCCAAATCCGGCGCGCTGCCAAAGGCCGCGCGTGAGGGGTGGCAAGGAGAGCAGCAACACATGAATTTCACCAGCCGCCAATACATCATGGGTCACTAGCTAAACAAATCAAGAACAACACCCCCAGGCGAGGGAATTCCGCCATGGGGAAGCCCAAGGCAAGGTCCAGCACCACCGGAGCCTGCAAGGGAAAAACAACAGTCACTCGGCGAGGATCCAGCACAGCCTCCCATCCATCCAACGAAGGACGGAAGCGGCAGCTGACACAAGTCTGAGTGGGCCCTCCCGGGCAGACTCGGCTAGCCTCACCACTGCCCGGGGTCCGGGCCCGAGCACTGCACCAGGGGCGCCCGGCACGAGGCCGATCAAAGGAAGATAGTGCAGCATCTCCGTCGCCGCCGCCACCACTGCAGAGCGTTCAGCGGGCAACATCCCACCAACCTCCAAGCCTTGCCGCGCCAAACACACGTGGAGCTGGTCCAGTACGTACGACAGAAGCGTCAAACACGTCCCCACGTGCACAACGCGTTGCTCGACGAGGGGAGGTAGTGCGCCTGCAGGAGCTGCACCAAGGGGAGCAGGCAGGACAGGAGGGATTGGAGGCACAGGAGGAGCCGGCGGCTGATGCTGTTGAGGCTGGGATAGAGGAAACCGATTTACGGGGGGATGTCGCTGCTGCGGTGCCAGATTTGACGCGGGGGGGGGAGCAGGGTGTTGTGGCAGAGGCGGATTCGACGGGGATGGGGCGGGAGGCGCATTCGCCTGCTGCTGCTGTGCTTGCAGCCGCCTCTAGCGGCGACTCAATCGCGCCCGCCGCGGCGCAGACTACGGGGCCGACGGCACCACCAGCGGACAGGGTTGCGGCTGTGGAGGAGGCGCAGGTGGAGCAGGGGTCGGCTGATTCGCTGGCGCCACTGGTAGCGGTGTCCCCGTCACCTCTTGGGGAGTTGGAGATTGCGGCAGTTGTAGCTGAGGTAGCGAGGCAACCAGTACAACCCCTGAACGAACCGTCTGCGCCGACTGCCGCTGAGTCCGCCGGAATGTCTGCTGCTGCCGCGGCCGTAAACATGCGGGGGCGCGGCCAGGCGCCGGATGGAACTGGGGGTCTCGTGACCGGCGCCGCTTCTGGCGCCGCACCGAAGAGGAGTAAGGTGAAGCTGCGCGCCCAGCCAGCGCCGAGGCGGCCCGGAGCAGGGCTGGGACCTGGGGCCCCGGGATCCCTCCTGGGCTGGCTTCGGCAAGGGCAGTCGCCACTAGAGCAAGCGCGTTTGTCGTCATCCGCACCACAGCCTGCAATGGGACCCGGCGGGAGGGGCAACATGGAGGTGGCTGACCGTGCGCATCGGGGAACCGAGCAGCCAAGCAGGATGCAGCAACCAATGGAAGGATCACCCATGACCCAGCAAGCAACTCACCGGGAAACACGGAGCTCGACAAGAGGCCGGGGAATTGTGTGGGGCAGGCCGTCGGGGGCAGGACGAGCGACAATGGCGACCCCCTGGGTGCCGGCTGGTTGGGGTTTAAGGTCTGCGCAGGAGAGCGCGGGAGGCGGTGGCGCAGGTGTAACCTCCGCGATCCCACGTGGAGGCAGAGGGGGAAGAGGAGGGGCATGCGGGAGGGGAGTTCCACTCCTGGATGGCGAGGCTGCAATCGTGAGATCAGGCACATGGCGTGACCGCCAGGACCGTCTGGAGCGTGTACCTACGCCTGGGAATGAGGGCGAGGAAGTTTCTAGAAACTCCCAAAACGGGAGCAAATTTATCCCCTCGCACTCAGAGGCATCGGAGGAGGAGGTCACCCTGGGCGACGATGAGAACCAGCATCTGTTGGCGCAGAGGCAAGTGAGGAGGACGGAGCAGGGTGGCATACCACAACCACCCGACGTGCCAGCAGGACAGGCCCCAGCTGTGCCACCACAGCCATCCGAGAAATCGCCAGCTGACTTGGCCAAGGATGAGTCTATCTGGCGCATGGCCAGCACTTGGGATATCGCGCCACTCCAGCGTGCGGATCAACCGTTCCTGGTGAGGCGGTTACCCCCAAAGATTGTGGAGAGCTACACGTTGTGCCTTCTAGCCCCACTGTTGCGATTGGCCGAGAAACCAGACTGTGTGGGGGCGTGGACGGTACAATAGTTTTTACCCCGCCTGACCCTTCGACCTCTACCAGAGCCGGTGGAGGGGAGCCGCTGGATCAAGATCGAGAATCGGCTGCACCACTTCAGGATCGGGGATCTTGCCGATCTCTACAGTGAGGCATGCGCGATCCCCGATACTGGAGCCCCGACACGACACCAGCCAGATGAGGCAGGCCTGTGCGCGCGAGCAGAGGGTTTGATAAAAAAAGGCCAACATTTCCAAGGCAGTATCTGCGTTACAAGTAACCCCGCTGGCGGAACCAGCACCTGCTACACTTGCTGCTTTACAGGCGAAACACCCTGACGAGAATCACCCATTTCGAGCTGGGTAACCAACCACACCGGTGTACCTGCCTCGTCATTGAATCTGGCCCCAGGCGATCTCCGCAAAGTGCTAGCGAAGTGCCCGAATGGAGTTGGAGCGGGCCCCTCTGGCACTTGTTTTGAGCACTTGAAGGACCCAGCCCACAGCAGCGAGCAAGTCCTACTGCTCCTCACCAGCGGCAAAGCGCGGACTACGGTGCAATGTGGCAAAGTCATCAGCATGGGGACCGCGAGAGGGGAACGAGGGGCAGCCGGGACCGCCATAGGATTTGCGGATGAGCATGGGGGGGATCAAGGTGCTTGGCAGCCCCATCGGCACTCCGGAGTACTGCACTGCTGAGATCCGGCAGGCGCTCGCCAAAGCATCGGCGCCTATCTCCCTTATCGCGCAGCTGCACCCACAACACGCCCTGCTACTCCTCTCCCGCAGCATCTCCCGCAGGATCTCCTACCTGCTTCGCACCACACCAAGCACCACGCTGGACCGGGAGGAGTGGAGAGGGTGGAGCGAGTCCTTGTTAGGGGCGGCGCTCACTGCTGCCAAGCTACGGATCCCGGCCAATGAGCTGGAACAGAGCCTCTTGTGGCGACAAGCGACCCTGCCCGTGCGCCTCGGGGGACTGAGCATCATTGATCCCGTTTCTGAGGCACCGGCGGCGTATATTGCATCTCTGACAGCAACGCACCACCTGCTACAGCAGATGAACTTGTGGGAGCAGGAGCTGTTGGCACGGGCCGAGATACTGCTGTCCAGAGAATGGGTCCCCCCGCCCCCAGCGTCAAACTATCTGGTGTTACTAGAGGAGGGGCTGCCGACAGAGGCACGGACAGTACTACAGACCTACCGGGAAGGCCCCCAGGGGCAGGGTAACCTGCAGCTCCTCTTGTCCAAGCACATCAACGCGGTAAGGGCCAAGGAGCTGCTAGCCGACACTGTGGTTGACAGACCGGGGGAAGACCAGGGGCACGGGGTCCGGCTAGTGAGCTTGAGGGGAGTGGGGGCCGGGGATTGGCTACACGCAGTGCTGACGAGATCTGACCTTACATTTGCCACGCAGTGCTACCGGGAAATCAAGGATACTAGTCTGGCGAATCACCTGCTCCGGTGTGGGGAAGGGGGAGATGTGGTGAGGACGCATAACGCCCTGGTCTACACGGCTTTGAGATTGGCGAGGGAGGCGGGCTTCAACACCTTCCATGAGACATCGGTGTTCTCCCCCTCGGTCCACCGCAAGAGGGCAGACATGGCGTTCCAGGATAGGGAATCAGCGGAGACCTGGGTCACGGATGTAACGGTGACTGACCCAGTGCTGCAGAAGCGGGACCCCAGGGTGCGGAAGCCACCGGGGTGGGCTGCCAAGGAAGCTTCCGAGAGGAAGCACCGCCTGTATGACAGCCGCCCCGACTATGTGGGCTGTTTCAGCCTGGCAGCTGAGACCTATGGGGCGCTAGCGACTGATACTGTGCAGTTTCTTAGGCTGTTAGCGGTAGCCACAGCAAAGAAGAAATTCAGGCAGGGGCCGCTCACCACCACCGCCTCTCGCCTCAATGCACACTACCGCCAACGCTGGTCAGTCATGCTGCAAAGATCCCAGTCAATCTCGTTCCTTAACAAGAGCAACATGGCAGCCGAGGCGGCCTTCCCCCAAGCACCTGCGGACCCCTGGGAGCCGAGCCTAGGGGACCTCTGGCAGGTGCTTGATGATGACCTTGCAGGAGTGTAAGCACAGCTGGGGGTGAACCAGGGTTGTAGGGTTGACCAGGAGGTTGGGGGGACCTAGGATGTTACAGCCAAGGGCATCAACACCTCCAGCGGACAGAGCACGGGAAGCAGGAGCGGAGACCAACTGGTGTGGCGTAGTCAATGTGGCGGGTGGAGGCAAAGTCAGTGACAGTGGCGACAAGAGCCGAGACAGACAACAGAAAGACAGTAAGGCCAGAGTCTAGGGAGGAGAGAACAGTGGAGATAACAGGGCGAGTAGTACGGAAGTAGTCAGAAAGAGGTTGTGAAGAAATAGTGAGAGACGAAATTGATTATTAGGGTACTTTTGTATAATCACATTGGTGTTTATTTTTATGAAGAATATATTTTCCTTGATTTGTCAGTGTAATAATCTTGGCTACATGTATGGCTTAGTGTAACATTTTTTTAAGCGATCATAGCACTAAACAGCGTATCGAGCACCCCACCTCCCCCACCTTCCCTCCCAAGCTGAAATAGTACCCTTGGTTCGAGCTATTGGTCTCCAAATTGTCTTCGTAGGACGAGTCGTAGTGCTCAGTAAGCCGCAAGGATGTTGTCGCTAGGTACTTTGCTACCCTCACAGCAGTCGTCCAGTTAATAGGAGGGTGTCTCCTAGTCGCAACAAAGTGAGCCAGGACGATGAGAGGATAAGCAAGGTCCAGACGAGTACAAGCTACCAGGTACATGAGGCAACCCACAAGCACAGGGACCACTAGACTCAAAAGGCTCGTTTGGGAGCAGTGGGTTTGTGGTCAACAGCAAGGAGTGGGTTGTGTGGTGGAGAACTGAAGCTCGAGTCACTGAAGGACATGCTTCACCATGTGTGACTGAGTTCGTGTGATGGTGCTAGCAGCTCTGTCCCTTGTGATTTGCAAGCAAAGGTAGCGGTGCAGTTCACCAAGGTCAGTGTACGTGTGTATCACAAAAGCCAGAGAACCTATGTCTGTGGCAGCGAAGACCAAGTCGTTAACGTAAACGAGGACAAAGAAGGGAGTGAGACCAGAATACACGAAGAGCGAAGGGTTGACGGACGACGCGCTGAAGCCGAGGTCAGCAAGAGTGACATGCCACTCACGGTCATCTCAGACTCTATAGGGTCCCTTGTGGGAAAGAGCCAATGAAGCCAGGATGACGACGCAGCCAGATCTTCTCGTGTAGGCTGTTGTGTAGAAAGATTGTGGAGAAGTCTAATGAGTTCAGGTCGTAGTCTTGTTGTGCTGCAAAGTGTAGTAACACTTGAAGAGTAGTCATCTTCAGGGTGGGGGAGATGGTTTGGAAGAAGTCTACTCCCCCATGCTGATAAAGCTTCTAGCCAAACAGCGCACCTTGAAGACAGGCGGCGATCCATGTGGTTGCTTCACCTTGAAGACCCACATGCCATCAACTAAATTCGCCTTGGGAGGGGGGAATGCGCCGGCGTACGTGCATGTGGACCTCCAAGGAACAATGAATGCTATCCATTAAGAGGCCCATAGTCCCGATACTGCCTCAGCGTAAGTGGAAGGACTTGGGATGTTTGGAGTGCCATGGTCTCTCTCAGGGGCTAGCAGCATGGCATATAGATGGGGAGAAGTGGCTGCCAGGAACGCCGGCTCAAACTCCCTGTCCTCCATGACGTCACAGCCAAGGGCACATCCACATTGGGCGTACAAAGGATGAGCAGGGGGAGCAGCCACCACGCGGGTGGTGTGGTCAAGGTGGCGTGTGGTGGCAAAGTCAGTATTAGCGGCAACAAGAGCCAAGACACAGAGGGGCGGTGATGTTAGTGACAAGAGAGATGTGAACACATGAGACAACAGTACGAACAATACGGTAGTGCTCAATGATAGGGTGAAAGGAGGTTGTAAGAGATGAAGTAGGAGGAGACTGGAGAACAGCCTGGAGTGGAGAACAACTAGAATGAAAGAAGACTGAACGGAGGTCCTGGATAGGAGACAAAGCACGAGCACTTGGGGGACAACGAGTGGTCGGAGGCAGGTGTGACCAAGGAGGAGAGAAAAAGCCAGAGACACGTGTGACCACAAGGAGGCGGTGATCAGTCCGAGGAGAAAAAGGGAGACCAAGGGTTCGAATACCATTCACAGGTGGGAACAACCGCTGCAACTGTGGCTGCTTCTACGTCGCGATGATGCTGCAGCAGCTCCAGCCGCTCCTGCGCAAAACGCTCCTGCTTATCTTGCTCCAATTCCCGAAGACGATGGTGACGCCTCATGTAATGGATGCCGGACTGAGCAGGCGCCGCAAAGCCAGTGCCTCCAGCTCCAACACCCCCAAAACCAGCTCCAACGCCCTCAGAGCCAGCACCTCCAGTGTCAGCACCTCTGGCTCCAACACCCTAAGAACGAGCACCTCCAGTGCCAGTACATCCAGCCCCAGCACCCTCCGAACCAGCACCTCGAGCGCCAACACCTCCAGCTCCAGCACCCTCAAACCAGCACCAACATCGCCATCACCTCCAGCTCCATCACCCTCAAAACCAGCACCTCCAGTGCCATAGTATCCAGCACCAACACTCCCAGAGTTCACTAGGTGTAGCAGGCATAGTATGACACAGACTCGTCTAAAAAGATGTCGTGGGAGTCGCAGAACCGATGGAGGGGCGGGTGGTACAATGTGACGCCAGGGGCGTCCATCGAAAAACCAAGGAAGAGGCAGGGTAGGTTGCAAGTTGAGAGCTTCTATGCAAAGGTATCGCGGGAATGCACAAGGCAACCCCAGACACCAAACTGTGACGCAACACTAGGGAACCAGTCCAAAGTCATGTCGGTGAATATCCCGGGCAAAGACATGCGGCAAGAGGTTCAACTGGAGGGCGACGTAGCGAACTAAGTAGGGGCATTGGGAATGGGGAGCACGGGCATGGATCATGGAGGTGCTGGATCTCCATGACCGAACCTATGCGGCGCTCAGGAATCCCATTCTTCTGTGGGGACTCTCGAAGCGTCCGGGACTATGTCTTGGCCTGCTCGCGACACAACCCGACAAGCATGCCGGAGCGAAACTCGCCCCCATGGTCGGAGTGGAGGCAAATGACTCAATTACCACGCCAAGCACTAGTGGCCACCAACCACAATTTCAAGGTAGGAGTCACATTGGACTTCTTCCGCAGTGGGAACAACATGGTGCAGCGGGTGAAGTCGTCAACGATCACCAGAAAGAAGCCCCCCCCCCCCCCTTTGAGGTCCAGGGCAAGGGGTGGGGCCCCAGACGTCCAAATGGAGAGTCTAGAGGGGCGCAGAGGCCAATGCAAGGAGGACGAGTGAGGGCTGGCATGCAGCCTCCCCTCAATGCAAGGAATGCAGAGTGGTGTAGGCTACGGAGAGAGTGACGGAAGCAAGGACGGGAGACTGGAGACAAGACCGTGTCAAGACATGTGGCAGAGACGAAGGAGTGAAGGGTGACCAAGAAGGTGGTGCCACAAGACTGATTGGTAGGTGAGTTTCAGACAGGAGCACGATGCAGCAACTTGACCAATGTGAAGAGACCCGTGCGGGACTCCAAGGAGAACGTGACTAGACGTGACCTGGTACTAGCGTCTGTACAGCTTGCAAACCTCTCTTGTGCAGAGAAAGTGGCAGTTACCCCTTGGTCCTAAAGGTTTCCAATACCCACCAAGATCCTAGAGGTCAAGAGAGGACAACCAGGCATGGGAGGGTGGTATAGCTGCGAGCCAAGCTGGTCCAGAAGTAGGATCAGCTAGGACAACCGAGATTGGAGCAGGATGAGGTGTGACAGTCGTGTAGTCGCGGACGAAGCAGTAAGACGCTCTAGAGTTAAGCGTGAAGGAGAGCGACGCGCCAGCCACATGTATATATGGGCTAGTAATTACACGAGAACCTACAATGGAGATGCAAGCACCCTCCACTAGCAACATGCACGATCCTAGTTTAGGAACACGCACGCAAATAAATCCATCAGCGCTACAGTCAACATCAGCATACATCACAAAAGCAGGTCGCATGCAAATCAGCCACAGACATGTGAAACGACACCGGGCCAAGGGAACGAGCCAGCGGGGCCCAGTCCGAAGTGGGGCCACCAAGGCCAAATTGCCCGCAGTAGTGGTTAGTGAGTTGCATAAAGTATTGATGTGGAGGATGGAGATGGCCACATGGGCCACCACAGTGTATCCCAGTCTGGACTAGGTCCCGGTAGAAATTAGAGGCGGGGCCACGCGACATCCTACTGGGTGGGCCACTGCTGCGGCCGGTGCTTCATGGTTCGAACGAAACTCACTGCTGCTTCACTCCCTACCGCTGGAGCTACTACTGCTGGTCTTGGAGCTGCTGCTGCCGTGGCTGCTGTCATTGTGGTTGATGCCAATCTCGTTGCTGGTGCTATGGCAGCTGGTGCTATGGCTGCTGCTGCAGTGGCTGTTGCTGCTGATGTGGCTGCTGCTGCTGATGTGGCTGCTGCTGCTGATGTGGCTGCTGCTGTGGAGGCTCCACACCCTCAAAGCCAGCACCTTCTCCTCCACTGTCGTCGGAGCCGCCACCGCCTCCACCACCAACTCCACTCCCTCCACCTCTGCTACCACCACCCCCACCGCCGCCACCGCCATGACTGCCTCCTTTCTTACAACCCTTCTTGCCCCCCTTGTGATCAGAGGCAAAAAAAGCCACCTCTATTGCTAAGGAAACAGAGGCCGAGGCCAAAGAAGAGACAAGGAAGGACATGGCATATCCCTCAAAGATAGGGAGGAGGACAGTATTACAAGTGGCAGAAAGCGAGCGGATCCTCGACCGCATGGAGCAACTTCGCAAAGAGCTCAATAGTAAGAGGCATAGGGTCAATGGTGAGAAAGTGATCACGAAGAGGTCAGGGAGGCATGTGGTGAGGAGGTACAGGGTCATGTACATGGAGGGGTGGGGTGGAAGGGGGGGGGGAAGGGAGACAAGGGGGGGTGTGTTCTTAGAAATTAAGGCAGGATGGAACTGGGGATCGAGCAAACGGAAGTGCAGGATCAGGTCAACCAAGAAA